CCAAAAAAAAACTCGATTAAGACCGAACCGGCTACGAGTAAAACCGATAAATTTTCACATCCCTGTTATCAAAACTCTGATCGATCTGATGCAGTGGTGATAAGAGGAGCGCTAACATACAGATGTTTCTCAGCTTTTCGAGATCAGTGGAGGTGCATGCATACTTGCCGCTAGATCGAAGAGAAACCGGAACCCAGATAGGAAAAACCGAAAACCACATCGGATACCAAATATTTTTGACGGAAACCGAGAACCAAATGCTAAAAAACGAAAAATCCGTGAGCTGCAATCAACACCAAAACCGATAAACCGAAGTTTTTTTGGCTCAAAAACCGAAAAACCGATCTATAACCGCAAAATCGCAAAATCGAAAATCCCAATGTCCCCCTCCTATATCGTTTCAAAAAAGCATATAAAATAGTCATCTGTCTATTTATGTTTCAATTTGTTTGTTTTTCCTTTTTTGAATTAGGGGCAGAGAGCGAGAAATGCGCTCCTTCCCTGACACGTGACTTGCCTCCGCTGGCCTGAAAAACGCAAATCAAAACACTGAAAAAAAAAAAATAAGAAAAAAGGAGGAGGAGAAATTATAGAAAAAATGACAGGTATTCCGAAAGCTAATTTTTTGCCAATTTGATCGTATACGAGGGTGCTAGTGAGCTGATTATTTGATTTTCAAGAAACGGACTCCTCCTTGTTTCGGGATGCTTTAAATCCCTCGATCGATGTCACAGTCAAGGAAAATGCATTTGTACAAGATTATTACATCTGTAAATTCTGTTTAATTCGCCAAACTAATTTTTCTATTTAAATCGCTTTGATCTGTTGTTTTCTCAAAATGTAATCAACGGACTAAAACCCTCCATGGAAACTGTAGATTTTTGGCAAAAATGTTTCTAATTTGAATAAGAGGTTAATCGTTACAACTGCAGCCTGAATAGAGAGCGACGATAACTTGAATATGCATAATTCGACTAAACTAAGGAATAATAATTGACGGTTTTTTGTGAATTTTCTTAGCACTGGCCGCTGACAATGCATATCTGAAACTTGCCTAAACAATAAAGCAAAATGGAACTGGTGATTAGCTCTAAATTAAGGGAAAAAGTTTTCAAGTTCCCCTCGCCAGATTTGCTAAATTTTTCAGCGTGGCCTCAAAGTTTTCTTTTCCTTATTTCATTGTTCCTTCTCTATTGCAAGCATGTCCTGGTTCTAGTGACAACAAGCTCTGTTGCTTCATTGTCTTCATTCACCCGATCACATTGAGCTTTAGTTCTACCTTCAAATAACATAACAGCACATCCAAAAATCGTCGTTTTAAATCGGGGTCAGTGGCAACTTTCGCGTTTAGGGCAACAAAATTTTGAACGTTGCTGTCTTCTACAAGGTAATTCATATACGCAAACATCGCTTGCCTCTGTTCTTTGTCCATATCCATCAAGTATTGATCTAATGGTACTGTGGTTGACTTTCCTTTCCAAGCAGCTAATGATCCACCCACGAGACCTCCCACAACCAGACCAACAGGTCCGCCACACACGCCACCAACAGTCGCTCCAATGCCTGTTAGAAATCCTCCTTTCAGGCGCTGGCTATTCGAGATCTGATAATTCCTTTCGCCCGCGATAAGAGCCAAAAGACGAACAAGGTCTTCGGGTGTTACAGGCATCTTGAATTTATGGTAGACGTACAGCAAAATTGACAGGCAAACTTGGATGACAAATTGAAAAATGCGTATCGGGAACTTTATATGGTCGTTGTCCTTTTCCGTTCGAATTAATTGTCTTACTATGGACAATAACAACATATGCATGATGGGATATTCTTCAATCACGTGGTTAACACCGTTTTTTTTTCTTCATCATTATTCATCAACCGGTATTACTTGTTAGACATCCTGAAATTATCGACCGAAATACTATCTTATTCCCATTTAAGTCTCCATTCCCGTTTAGCTACCCTATGGTGAGGACCAAGTAGTGAAAATTATCTCATACCCGTTTGGTGACGCTTCCCAAATACCTTAAAGAACTGTCTCCCCCCTCCCTGCCCCCTTGTACAATTCTACATGACGCAATCACAGCGAGAATATCCCAGATGAAAAAAAAAATCGGAAAAAAAGTAGATCTATAACAAAATGTTCTCAGTCTCACCTCCAACAAAATTTACGATTTTCTCCATTGTCATCGTGAAGTCCATGAGTACAAATGCTGGCTTGCTAAAGCTCGCCAGTTTATCGCATTGTGGGTTCGCACTGCTAGAGTTCCTTGTTCATTCAAAATTGTCAAATTTTGAGCCCTCCTCGAGCTCCCTGACCAGCGGTTTAATCGATAGTGAGGCGGACATGCGCCTTCGTTCAAAGCACATGGAAAGGAAACATGGCGGGTTTTACAAAAATTTCAAACTGAGCCATCATTTGCGGGAATTATTCTGGAAGCCGCAAAGAAATAATCATTTTAGACCTTAAATCTAACATTCTGCTGCGTTTCATTTTCAATCATGTCATCGAGTTTTGGAGATTTGTTGCAGCAGGCAGAGCAATTGACTGCCGATATGGACAGTGGCTGGGAATTGCCTCGGGTTGAGAGAAACCTCCATCAACTTGCAGAGGCTGGTCAGAGATTGTGGTCTCAAACGACTGGTGTGGCGGGAGATAGTGCTCAAGTGAAGGCGTAAGTGCATTCATTATCTGCTAAACAATGAAACAAAATTCTGCTTGAAATAAACTGAGACTTGTCGATCCGAGTCAGCGCCTCACATCGGGCCCATCACATCCGGTTTGTGTCTGTGTCAGATAATAGCGAGTCATTGTGGTTCGTTATGAAAGCAAATATCCCTTATTCCTTGTCTTCTTCACCGTTCCTGAGGGAGACTAACGTGCAATCGTATTTATTTTGTCCAACTTCCTTAATGCCACCAATAATACTCAGTGATGTTTGGCATGGTAATGGACGTTTCATTTTGTGCAACCCAACCCCCCCCCTCCCCAATATGTTGCCATTGACACCTCTGAAAACTGCAGTAGAGTGATAAGCCCTGTCCCAAAGGTTACCTGCTATGGGAGGGGGGAGTTGAGATACACAAAGTGAAACGTCCATTACCATTCCAAACATCACTGAGTATTTCTTGTGGTATTGAGGAAGTTGGACAAAAAGAAGTTGATTGCATGTTAGTGTAAAGGTGCAGAAGTGTTTCCTTTATGTACACTTGCTGCACAAAGAGTCTTTGTCAATGAAATGTTGTGAACATAAAACCATAATCGCAATTGGTGTCAATTTGGCCTCAGAATAATCGTAATAGAGTTACAAGTTTGTTGGTCCAGTAAAAAATGATGGGTAAATTTTTGATACTCAATCTTTTTTGCCCTCCCAGTTCCATTTTACTGGGCACCAAAGGCTTTGATGTCCCACGCCTGTCAGAAAAACTAGATCGTCTTGACACGGCAAAGACATTTGAACCTCTTGAGCCTGTTAGAGAGACTGATATTCAGGTAAAGCTTGGTACAATCTGTTCTTATTTGCTTGTGTTTTAAATGGATTTCTGTGTCTGATAATAATCCTTTTTGTAAATGACCCTTAATATTTTATTTACCAATCCTCTTGCAGGGTTTCCTTCGAAATGAGAGAGAAAATGCAATCTTGGCAGCCATAGAGGAAGCAAGAAAGAATGTGAGCTTCATCACTGTTTAGGCTAAGTATTGTTTTTATCAGCATTTAATTGATTTTAAGCTGTTCTCCTAAAATGATCCTTTTACCTCTTCTTCAATCAGACATTTAACCAGGCAGAAAAACATCAATGGGCTTGCATGGAAAGTGAATGGGAAAAAGAAAAAGAGAAAATTCTTAACTCACTTTTGGGAGCTGGGCAGGAGACGCTAGATTTCTCAGGAGAAGCAGAGGTTTGATTTGAAATAATTGTTTTTAAATAAAGTACAGCAGGTTAGTAATATTAAGCTGGCCTCTCTCTATTTTTATTTATTTATTGATTTTTGTGTATTTCTCTACTAAGGTTTTCACAACAAGTTCATTGAGTTTACAAGGGAGAAGTGCTCTTGATGCGACAGAACTAGCTTATGCCAGACAGGTGAAATACAAAATGAAAAGTAAATGTATTTCTCATGGGTTACATAACCCTTTCTTTGGGGTGTTGCATGGTATGTTGTTACAATTGCTTCATCAGCGGTAGGCTATGTATTTGAGCTATTGTCATGGTTTCGTCGAAACAAATGCCGACACAGGCGTCCCAAGCTCTCGTCTTGAGCCAAAGCGAAGGATTATTTCATGAAAGTTGGGTGACACGGTGTTAAGTAACGCGAGGTATTTGAGACAATCTGTGAAAAGATCACTTGAAACGAGTCGAAACTCAATCGTTTGAATAACTCGACTTGCTTTCGGCGCATTCAAATGGATCATAATTAATATTTTTATTATTGGATTCGACCGATTAAGATAAGGTACAACCAAGGAACTTGCACACGAAAAGCATACGATAAATTCAATTCGGGTTTAAATTTCCATAATCCCAGCTTCCCTGTCACTCCATCAAAAAATGTGTTGCCTTTGTAACTGCTAACAACTTGTGTCAATTACCACCATTTCACACAATCACTAAATGGAGAATTCAATGAGAGAAGATGTGGATTGTGATCACACCGAAAATGTTTCTACCATCGTTGCCAAAGTGCCAAGTAAACGGCTGATGAATTTTCTCGAACGGATAGCTCGAACCGTTCGAATGGATTATGAATATTCAAGAACGGATAGCTAGAGGCGTTCGAACAGATGATGAAGTTTCTTAAACGGATAGCTCGAACGGTTCAAACAGATGATGAATATTCAAGAACAGATAGCTTCAGGCATTCAAACCGCATGCCAATCCAGTCGAACAGCCGATGAACGGCTGGTGAACAGCTATCCGTTTAAAAACGGCTAACTGTTTGGAACATTTTCCCGTGAGAGGTCACATATAGTCATTCATGTCTTACGACTGTCCCTACGCCCTCAAAATTAAATACCCAGTGACTGGGGATTGTCAGTTTCTCTTAGAAGTAGTTTTTTGCATATACGAACATAGTTTAGATTATTTTGTAGGCTTGTTTTTCTTGCTCTATTTTTCATATTTCCGAGTTTTCATTCC